TCCTTTCATCCTTCCCCCCACCCCCCCCACCTCCACTCATTCATTTAACCTCTATCTTTCAAGTGCCTATTCTGTGGTTCTGTTTCTTCATCTGAAAAATGCGTTACCTGCTTTTAGGGTCACAGAAGGGCTGGAAGCCCTTCATAAGCTGGCCTCTCCTTACTCCCTTCTTGCCATTTTTACACACACACACACACACACACACACACACACACACACACACACACACAGTCAAATTCAGTTATAGGAACCCTAGAGATGAACAAGTTTAATCCCCTTAATTTACACTAGGGTAAACTGAGGCCCTGGGAGGTTGAATAATTTGCCCAAGGTCATAGAAGTATGCCATTAGACTGAGAGTTTGAAGGGACCCTCAAAGGTCATTAACTCCAATCTCTACATTTTACAGAGAAGGAAACTGAGGCCCAGAAAAGTTAAGCCACTGCCCAGCTGGTCTTCAAGAGTCCAAATCCAGACCTCTCTGCTACATCAAAATGACTCTCAAAAGGTTGTTATGAGGGAAAGACTTTGTAAGCCTGCAGGCAACATGCATACCCAAGCTGTTGTTACAGTGCCATCTGGGAAACCCTATGATTTTACCTGGTAACGAACATCCTACCTGTAAGCTGCTCCAGGTAGGAGAAGCTGTGCCTCTAGCACTGTGTTCACAAAGTCCCTGGGCGGTGGGCATCCTGTGCCTGCCTGGAGCTAGCATAGCATACATGAGGTTTCCCCTCAGGCTATTTATCTGCACTGGCCTGGCAGAAGATGGCGATTGAATTAAGATCGTACTTCTGGAGCTCGAAGGGATCTTAGAGGTCCTGTTAGCCCAACCCCCTCATTTTGCAGATAAGGAAACTGAGGCCCAGAGAGGTGGAGTAATTTGTTATAGGATCCTAGGTCTAGAGCCAGCCTCAGAGGTCATCTATTCTAATCCTTTCATTTTACAAGTGAGGAAACCGAGGCCCAGAGAGGCTCTTTTCCTGAGGGTTTAAACCCAGATCCTCTGACTCCAAGTTCAATCCTTCCACCTCGACTCTCTGTTTACCTTTGGGGTCTACTGTTTATCTGATTGTACAGACCATCTGTGATTACTCATTTTCTGTCCTCACAGGATAAGACAGAACCAAGTATCTGTTTGTTAATTGAATGCTAAGTGTTCACAAGCACACACGAATGAACACAAAATCAGCATCAACAAAAAAACCCCACCTTACAGAATTCATAAATCAACTGAGCTGAACGGGACCTTAGAGGCCACCTAGAGCAAGCCATTTTACAGTCTGAGAAAACTGAGGCCCAGAGAAATGAAGTGACTTTCTCAAAGGCAAGCAGACACTAAATGACTGACTTCCAAGTGGTACTCTCCATACCCACCCACTACCAAACTGCTACTCTTTCAAGTTACAGGAAGACTGAAATACAATGTATCCAACACAATGGAGAAGATTCAATATGGTATTCTAAGTCTTAACACTAGAACTGTATAAATGTCACTAATTATGAAAGTCAAATCAGTCAACAAGCATTTATTAAGTGCCCCTTGTGGATGTGCCCAGCACCGCTTTAGGATAAAAGAGAGGAAGACTAGTCTTTTGGAAGGCCAGAGGGAACCAAGTCCTAGACTTTGGGTTAGGAAGATATGGGTTCAAATCCAGCCCCAAACATGTACCAACTGTGACCCTAGTTGTTCAGTTGCTTTTCAGTCGTGTCTGACTCTTCATGACGTCATTTGTGGTTTTCTTGTCAAGGATCCTGGAATGGTTTGCCATTACCTTCTCTGGCTCATTTGACAGATGAGGAAACTGAGGCAAATAGGGTGAAGTGATTTGCCCAGGGTCACACAGCTAATAAGTGTGTGGGGCCAGATTTGAACTCGGGAAGATGAATCTTCCTGACTCCAGGCCCAGCACTCTATCCACCCAACCAGTCTCCCTAGACAAGTTACTTAACCTGTCTCAGCCTCAATTTCCCCACCTGTAAAATGAAGGGATTAGATTAAACAATCTCCCAGTTCCCTTCCAGTTCTAGCTGTATGAGTCTAATAAAAGCATTATCTTTTTTTTTTTTTTTTGGCCAAGCCAACACTTGATAATACCCTCCTCCAAAAAGCTTACTCCTTGTGTTATGTTAGCTTGAGGAAATCATAAACAATGCCTACTATCTAGGACATATAACTTTTATGTCCCTCAAGTAACCCTCGAATGGTTTTCTACAAGGTTACAAACACTTAGGATCAGCACTGCTGGACAGATCGTACACACAGGGAATGTCCCAGCCCAAGGAAATTGCAGAACAGCCTGTATTAGTGTACAAAGTACCTGAGTCTAATCTAGCCCTCTCCTCTTCCTACAGATGCAGTAAGTGAAGCCCAGACAGGTGAGTGATTTCCCCAAGGTCAGTCACACAGGTAGGTGTTAGATGATTGAGCCCCAATCTGAACCCCAGGCCTTTGACTCTAGATTCAATAGTCTTTCCAGACACAGTGTCAGCACATAGTAGGTGTTTAATAAATGCTCTCTGATGGCTCAATTTCCATCATACCATGCTGCCTCCTTTGACTTGTTGGAAAGGCTCAATTGGGGCAGGGGTGGGGAGTGTTTTGTAGTTATTTCTCAGGGTAGAAGATTTCATAATATGTTTCTTTCAAATGAACCCCACCACATGGCACACAGATCCACAAATCAATGAAAAACCTTATTTCACTGCCATCCTACCAACACACTGACATATACTACACCCACAGTAGCTAAAACATGCCCACACAATAACCAGTGACCACATGTTTCTAAAGAGTTTTAAGGCAGAAAGAGACCACAACAGTAAAATTTTAAGGGGCTCGAAACCATTTTCAGATCAAACCAAAAGCTTTGTTAGCAAAGGCTCTTTTGCTTAGTGCATAATTTGCATGAACAAAGACAATGTTAGAAGGATGGCCAACTACCCCCCACATCCCAGGGAGGGGTCAGTCATGATCACTGTCGGCTCCAATATGTCTTAGTGTGTCTCTGTCTGTCCTGTCTCCACTGAATTCCTCTTTTTGCCTCCTGAAAAACCACACTCCCGTACAGAATTGTCTGGCTGTTGGAATGTGACTGAGATCCATTTTTAAAACCTCTCTGAGTATTTTACAACCACCGACCACCAGGCTGGGGTGAGGATACCTAACACCACTGCAGTTTGGTGACAGAAGGCTAAAAATATCCAGATGAAAAAAGCAGCCTTTTTCCAGGGCTGGATCAGATGTCCAGGGGCGGTATCCAGTGGTCCTGGGGCAAATCACTGGCCAAGAGCAACTGACTAGCCTATATTCAGTTTAGTGTCATAAAGGATAGCTTAGTAATAAGCAAGTAGTGACAAGAAACTCAGGATCATGATCTCTCCCGGGTCTGTGGATAGCTAAGCTTTGTATGTACTTTTCACATACACACACACACACACACACACACACACCCCAACATGCAAACAGACAAGACAGGATTGCAGCTGCTTAAGTGTAACAGGCACACATTAAGGGGGGTGGGGGTGGGAGGGAATAGCTAAACACCATTTATTTCCCTGGAAGGAAATGAGATTGCAGCTCCTTCCAATTAGGAAAGCAAACGATGGCACTGCCTCCTTGGAAAAACTCAACTTGAAAGTGTGAAAAACGAATTAAGCAACAGACCAGGCAAGTGATGGGCAGGAGAAAAAGCAGAGACTTGTGGAGACCCGGCTGAACAGGCCATCCAGTCAAAGTCTTACAGGGCTTTAACTACCTGTTGGGCCGTAAATCAGAGCATCGGAATCAGGGCTGCTGAGCACTGGAGTGACTCATTCTCCAAAGTTTGGATATCTGACTCTCAAGGTATATGTTTGCTTTCCTCTTTAGAAGGAGGGGACCAGGCAGGACTGGAAAGTTCATTCATGCCTGAGGTCCTAGGGGCCCACAAGGTGCTATGAGATACCTGGAAAGGGCAGGCCTGGAGGTCCCTGGCTTCCTAAGGCCCCATGCCCAGGCCCCTGATATGCCAGGGCGTAACTTAATTTCAAAGAGCATCTGAGTAAAGGTGGGGGGGGGGGTGAGGAGAGAGATCTCCATCAGGCTCACCAAGGAGGCCAGTCCTGAGAGCAGGGAGAGGCCTGGTGGCAGGGTCACCATCAAAACGGAGACCACCATCATCCAAGAACTCTGGCCCTACCCTCAGACAGTAGGAGTCCTGGACAGCTCCAGGAGGATGGGGAGAAGCAGGAGCCTGGGCTTCTACCTCTTCTTTCCCACACCTGATCCCAGCAACTTCCCCAAGGCTGGGTGAGAGGATTTCGGATTAGGGGTGGGGCTCCCTCAAGCCTTGGTAATCTTGGGTACCACTCTTCTGCCTACCATCCCCACCTAGCTTGAAAAGCTCACCCCTTCTCCTGGTGGCCAGGTACTGCTGTTCCCTGTCCCTAGTCCCTGCCTTTCCTCCTCCCAGATGACCGGAGCTAAAGAGGGTTCCTGCTTCTTTCATCAGGGGGTCTCCCCAGCCGTGGTCGAACACTCCAGCTCTCTCGGTGGGCATCTACGAGGTGGGAGGAGGTGTCGACCCCTTCCAGTAACCCCAACCTAATCCCCACTGCCGGGCCTGCCAAAGGTTCTTCTTGTCCTCCCCACCCTTTCTCCTCTTACCCGACGAATGATCTCCCAAAGACACAAAGAAAAAGAAGGGAGGAAGAAAAAAAAAAAAAAAAACTACTGCCCAGTGATAAAACCTTAGCACCCAGGTCTCCGGGCCGTGTCTCTCTGCGAGAGCAGGGGGGCAGGCGATTGCCTCGTCCTGCCACTTTCTCCCACCCACTCCCCAACCCAGAACCGAAGCAGGCAGACCCCAGATCGAGGGAGCGGGTGAGCAAAGGTGAGAAGAAAAGAGGGGAGGAAAAAAGCCATTACAACCAGCGGGTTGGAGGAGAGCCGGCAAGAGAAAAGAATCTATGCGTGCGTGTATGTATCAAGAGAAAAAACAAGCGAACGCGCCCCCTACCTGGATGCAACATACTTTGGAAATAGAAGATGACTAGAATAAAGGATCCCAAGCAAGTGACCAGAGCCATCCTGCAAATTCGGCTCATCCTCATCACTTCGAACAGGGCTGGCTTCATGGCTTCGTCCGGGGCGCGGGCTGGCCGGACTCCGGGATGGCGCGCCCGGGGCGCGGGAGCCGGGGCGCCGGGGCGCACGAGGAGCTGCGGAGGATGGAGAGGAGGACGACCCGGGCGGGGTGGGGGCGGTGTCTGCCGAGCCGCCGCTCGCTCGAGCTGACTCCCCTTCTCCCCGTGTGTCTCCCCGTCCGGGGCTCCCCAGCCCCGAGCCGGGCTTCGGAAGGGAAGGGGCCGGAGTTGGTGGGGAAGTGCGCTCGGTGCCTGGCTGCCTGCTCCTCTCCTCCTCCTCCTCCTCGTCCTCCTCCTCGTCCTCCTCCTGCTTCGCCTTCTCCTCCGCCGCTGCCTCTCCGCTCCCTTCCTCCCCGCGCCTGTGGGTGCGATGGGAGAGCTGCTCTCCTTCCTCCCCCTGCTCCTGCCGCCGCTGCCGCCGCTGCCTCGGCAGCCACCGACGTCGCTGCTGGCCAGACCCCTCGCGCTCACAAGGGCTCCTTCATTGCGCTCCCAGGCTATATTCCTGAGCTGGGCTTTACCAACGCGACTCGCCGGCTGCCGGCGAGGGGAGGGAGCCTGCCGAGAGCCGGCCGGACCCGAAGAGGAACCTGAGCGCCGGGGAGGAGCGTTCGGCGCTCCCCCGCCCCGGCCGGGGATATGGTCGCGTCCAGCTGTTTCCCTGCGAGGGAGGGCGGGGGAGAGTGAAGGAGGGAGGGAGGGAGGGAGGGGGGCGGGAAGGGGGAGCGCGGCGGCGGCGGCGGCGGCGGCGGCGGCGGCGGCGGCGGCGCGTGCGTTCCTTCCCTCAGGGTCCCAAAAGCCCTCGGTCCCCAGCCTCCCCGGCGCACGGGCTCCGCTGAGCCTCCTGGGCTTTGGGTCAGCGTTTCCATGACACATCCCTTTTTTTTTTTAAAGAAAAAAAAAAAAGAAATGGGAAAAGAAGAGAAAAAGAAAAGGGGGAGAGCGGGATTGAAATCAAAGCAGCACCAGGCACACCTTCCCGAGTTCGCAGGCTGGGGAGACAGCGGGGGGAGGGAGGGAGGGGAGAGAAAAGGGGGAGGTTGGAAGTAGCAGCCAGTTTGGGAGGACTCTTGGCATTTCAAGGTCTGGGCAGCCCGGACATCAGGAAGTCCTGGTGAGATAGGCAAACAGACACACACACACAGACACACACACACACACACACACACATATACACACACACACACGCACACACACACACACGCACACACACACACACAGAGACACACACACATATACACACACACACAGACACACACACACACATATACACACACACACACGCACACACACACACACGCACACGCACACACACACTCAGCTTTTAAATGCCTCGGGGCGGGGTGCGAGTTAGGACGGGGCAAGTGTAGAGTGTGGGCACTCTGGGTAGCGACGAAACCCTCGACCCTGAGCTTGTACCAAGACCCAGGCGCCTCCCTGGCACGGAGGGAAACGGCCCTGGCTCCGGACTGCCGGGTTGTCAAGCTCAAATGACCGTCACTCTTCAGAGCAGGGGTGGTTTCATTTAGGGGCTTGGAACCCCCAACCCCTTCGCACGCTGCCTGGCATTAAGCAGTCGCTTAATAAATACTCGGTCGATAGAACAATGTGAGTGGGGAGGAAATGAAACTGAACGCTGTCTTCAGCAACGGTAACGACGGGCGGTGGAGCCAGCGTTGAATTGGACTCACTCACGGAACTTGGGTTCAGATCCTTCTCTCATCACCATCTCTGTGACACTGGGCCAGTCACTTAAACCCGCCCCCTACCGTAGGTTGGATTAGGTGGCTTTTAGGTGCCTCCCAACTCTAAATCTCCGATCCTCTGACAGTTTCTTCATCCATAAAATGGGGGAGAGGGGGGTTGGAATAAATGGCCTCCGAGGTCGCTTCCAGCTCTAAAACGACGGTCCCCTGACCAAGCCTTATTCCAGGCAAGAGAAAACGCACTCCTCTCCCTTCATTACAGAGGTGGGGGAATATTGCATATAGTTGATGGGTTGGTTAGTTTCGTGGCGATTCACTTTCTCCCCCTTTTTCGTCTTTGTTGCAAGGGATGACTCTCAGGAGAGAAGCAAGGACGGACAGGTTTGGAAACGATGTGAAAACGGAAGACGTCATAGAATCACAGATTTAGAGCCCAAAGGGACCTGAGAGGTCAGCTCTTGAAGCTGACGGGAAGAAACTGAGACCAAGGAAATTAAGTGACCGGGATGGGGGTGAGGGTCATTTGTTCTACAATATTTATTCAGTATAGTTACCGTGGACTAGTTCGAATTCTCACCTCCCTTTAATGCACTTACTAAGTTCAAAGAGGGTTCAGTCTAGAGCAGTAAGAGACCTAGAGGTTAGGTAGTCTAATGCCTTCATTTTACAGGTGAAGAAACTCAGAAGATCATAGATTTCTTGTGGCCAGACAGATAGGAGGTATCTGAGGTGGGGTTTGAACCCGGAAGAAAGGAGAGAGGAAGAAGGAAGGAGGAATGGGAAGGAGGGAAAGAAGGGAAAGAAAGAAAAAGGAAGGAAATAAAAGGAAATAAGGAAGGGAAAGAAAGGAGAGAAAGAAAGGAAGAAAAGGAGAGAAAAGGAAGAAGGAAAGGGAGAGAAAAAGGAAAAAAGGAAGGGAGAGGAAAGAAGAGAAGGAAAGAAAGACCTCCGCTGTAGAGGATCAGAATCCCCCTAGGCCTCAGCAAACAGAAATCTCATCTCTTTTTGCAGAGAAGCGCAGCGCGTGGCTCTAAAAAAAACCCCGCCTCTCATAGACTTAAGGGTTCCGTGATTTCCCCAGTTTACAGACACGTCTGCAACTTCGAGATGGTCGGCCGTTCTCCTCATCCGCGCTCGGGGGTAGAAGGAAATGTCACGCAGGTGGCGGCGGGAACGTGGGCTCTCCAAGGAGAATCGAAGGGTTGCGTTGTTCGTGGCACTGCACCTGATCTCAGGCATCTGACTGCCCACGTCGTGGTTACTAGTCAGTAAAGCCAAAGCTGGCAGACTGCACAAACGTCGCTGCCGCTCTGGCACAGGATCAAGGGAAGGTCGTTTTTCTCAGGGATCGGTTACCTGCTGTGAGGTGACGGAGAATCGTGGACAGAGAGTCATATACAGGTTGTGTGACCCTGATCAGGTCCCTTAACTTCTCTCAGTGGCCCCAGGCAATTCTTTAAAACCTATTAGTTGCAGAGCAGGTGAAGATTTATACTGATCAAAAGAATTACCTGTACCTGTAAAATGAGAGGTCTGGCCCGACACCAAAACTCCACCAAATAAAGCCTGCCAAGAATCAGCGCTTGGTCTGCGTGGGCTTGTAGATTCAACATAACACACCTTCGGCAGGAGCGTTTTGGCTTTCCTTAAAACTGGAAAAAGACACTAAATCTATAACAATGACGACGATTACCACGGCTATGATGATGGATCTCATCTAATCTTCACAACAGTCCTGGGAGGTAGGTGCCATTATTATCTTCATTTTACAGATGAGGAGACTAAGGCGAACAGAGGTTTAAGTGATTCACCTAGGATCACACAGCTGGAAAATGTCCGACTACAAGTCCAGTACTCTATCCACTAAACTCCATAGCTGCCAAGACTAATAATAATGTCCTACCCATCCTACCCCATAGGGTCACTGTGAGGAAAACACCTTGTAAACCTTTTAAAATATCAGGGAAATTCCCGCAGTGGAATCTCCCTCCACCAACAAAGATTAACGACACATCTGTAATTCAGGCACCATAGAGATGACCTAGTCTTATAGTCTTAGAAAGTTCTCTGAGGCATAGAGAAGTTAAGTGACTTGCCCTTGGGCATTCTCTGGGCCTCAGTTTCCTCATCTGGAAAACTGAGGAAGTTGAACTAAATGACCTCTGAGGTGTCTTCCAACCCTGAAACTATGAACATATAGAAATACATACACACACACACACACACACACACACACACACACACATACAGTAGTTAAATATACAAAGAAACTGAGTTCAAATCCTGCCTTTGGTGATTATCTGTGTGACTTTGGATAAGTCATTATTTAACTTCCCTGGTCTTCAGTTTCCTCCTCTTTAAAAATGATGGGTTCAGCCTTAGACGTCATTCTGGTCCAACCTGCCTGTAAGAATTCCCTTGATGAGTAGACCGCCAGATTTTTCTTGAGCACTTTATCAAGATGGAAAAAAGTGACTGCCTCACAAAGCAGCCCATTACATTTTTGGACATGTCTAATTACACTTTGTAATTATATTTCTGTTGAATTGAAACCCTATTTCTGCCCTCTGGAGCCCCAGAGAATGTCTGCCTCCTCTTCCATGTGACAGTCCTTGAAATATTTGAAGACATCTATCATGTTTTCATCCCTTTGTTTCATTACTGGCCCTGAATCTTTTCTTCTCTGTCTAAACACCCTGTTCCTTCCACTATTCTTTAAATGACATATTTTCCAGTCCCCCTTACTTTTCTGGTCACCTTTTTCTAGCCATGTTCCATCTTATCAAAGTTACTCTTAAAATATGGCACTCGGTGGTAAACAGACATTCCAGAAATGGTCTGACCAGAATCACATAGAAGGCATATTTCTCAAACTTGACTGGCAATCAATGAGTCAGTCGATGGGTCATTCAGTCAACAATAGCATTTGTTCAGGGTATTTATTTTGTACCTAACGTTAAACTAGGTTAGAATCTTGAGTTTCCTTTAAATAACATTTTAGACTACACCTCCTACCCAAGGCCTTTCTTAATCTCTTGGGTGCTGGCATTTTCTCCCCTCATGAAATCACTTTATATTGCTTTGATAAATCATGTCCCCTCTCTGAACCTCAGTTTCTTCATCTGTAAAATTAGGAGGTTGGATTAAGGGGCTTCTGAGTGACTTACCTTCTAGCTCTGAATCTATGATCCTATGAATATAAATAAACATAACATGGTGAAATAGACAGAAGACCTGGGTTTGAATCCTTCCTGTGGGGTTTAACAGCTGTGAGACAGTGGGCAAATCACTTAACTTGTGTGGGTCTATAAAA